CCTTACAACTCCCTCAAGAATTATACCCCAAATTCTTGAGAACACTCTCTCCCAAAGAGAAATACATAAATTTTGCAAACTTACAGAAAAGCTCACAAGGCAATATGTTTGCACAATTATAAAACAAAGAAAGAACACTCAAGAATGAATACAATTAAGTACAAATGGTGTTCTTGAAAGCAAAATGAATATTGAATGAAAATGGGCTTGAAATGCTCAAACTTGATGATTAAGGCTTTCTCGTTGATTCTCTCTCAATTCTTGTTTCTTGTTTTTGATCAATGGCTTTAGAATTTCTTTATATACACCATGAATTGATTCTGAACGTTGGGGATCATTGGTGAAGTCAATAGATTCGTTATGGTGTGAATACCATTTAAAAAATCTGTTAGAGCGTAGGTGTATCGGTACACTCTCAAGGTGTATCGGTACACTCAGTGTAAAATTCAAATATTTCGATCGTTGGTTGACCTAGTGTATCGGTACATCCCAGGTGTATCGGTACACTAATTACATTCGATGTTTCTTGGAGCCAGGAGTGTATCGGTACATCAACTGTGCATCGATACCCAAATTACATTCGAAATATGGGGTGTATTGGTACCTCTCTTTATAAAACTTGTTTTTGGCTCGATTAAGGTTCAAAATACTTTGTAAAAATTGTTTCAAAAATATTTTAAGACCAAAACACAATTTTACACTTAAGTAGGGATTAAAATTGACATTTGAAAACTTGGAGTAATATTTTTGATATTCGAATAATTTAATCGAATATATAATTTTAAATCTTAAAATTCGACAGTACATTATTTGTTATATCGAAACATCAAAATGTTTTCAACAGATTGGTTACTCATATGTAGGCAGGAAATCGAGGATGAGCAGAGTCAGATAAATAGAAGAGAAAGTTTTGTTGAGACTTGTATGAACAGTTTCCTTAAGACATATTCGTTATCTCCTCGGTGCTTTGAGTAACGTTGGTCTCCCAGGATACAACAAAAAACGATCACAACAGTAAGCACAACCATAGTGATAAGTCGAACACAATCTTGTCTTTCTCTATCACCGAAAAGAACGAATTTGAAAGGAATTTTCTAAGTGTTTTCCTATTCCAACATTTTAACCTTGCATGATGTAACTTTTGTCTCTAAGATTCTTTTCCTTACCTATCCTATATATAGAGGAGAGAAAATTAATCAAAATGTTATGACCTTTTGAGGAGGAGTTAAGACCATTTGATGAAGGTATTAGTTGAAAAGCTAATAGGTATAATTGAATGAATGCAACCTTAAACCAAGTGACATAATTTATTATTAATAAATCATTTCACCAAGTAACATCATTTATTATAAAGAATATCAAATTTATTCAATTAATTCATAATTTTCCAACATGGACATAGGTCCACTATAAGAACAAGCTACGGTTACATCTACAATTCCACATATGAAAATAAAATTAGTTTTATCAACCACATAAGCTTAAATGATACCCATAATCCCATTCAGTATCTTATCCCAATCTACACGGAGTTTGAATATTGTCAATTTTTATGATTGCATTAATGGTATATTTATCTTCAATTTATGGTTGATTTTGAATGATTGTAATATACCATGTAGAGCATGCGGCGACTTGAAGTCTATTGTATTTTCTCCACCCTGACACGTGGGATTTTTCAAATATCCAACGATCGTCATTAGTAACTGGAAAAATCATATTCTCTGAATTCTATAATCGTTAGTTGAATTCCAAAGTCCAAAAGAGAATGATGAGAGTATCCAATATGAAATTGAAAGGTAGTTATATTAGTTTTCCATGGAAAATGTGACAACAAGACCCGCCACTTGAGGTGGGGTTGGTCCAATCCAACAGGGCAAAAGGATAAGGGCATAAATGGGGCGGCCAATGCACACTAGTTAGGTATGATCTACTGCAAAACTTTTTTTAATAGATCGGATTGGAATCATTATAAATTAGTATTTGTGTGGATTTTTTTTAAAAAATACTTATTATATCACTATATATATATATTGGTATATGTATTTGACTTTGAGCTTTTATTCGTCATCTAAAGAAATGTTGAATTAGATTTATGAGCATGCCATTTTTACACTTCAATTTTAGTGGTTCAATTAGGTACTTTGTTTAAATTGATACCTAAATTTGGTATTTCAATTCAAATTTGTTACAAATTATAAGCATCAACTAGTATTAGAATCGAAAATTCAAATTTAGGTATCTACTTGAACTAATAAACCATGTTCAGATATTGATTATATTTAAATTTAAAGTTAAATTTAGTATTAAATTGAACATTAAAGTTAAGTTTAGATACTCAATTAGACAAATAAATTTAACTACTAAACCAAATCTTGTTGATAGTAAAAGTTAGATTGTGGTGACTTTTGACGATTCATCCCTTTTGATTTGAGAGAAGAGTCACAACCAATTGTTCGATTGAGGGAAATAGAGAGCAAACGAGTTAAAGAGGATGATTAACAATCATCTAGAGAGAAAGCCCGAGAGAGAGAGAGAGAGAGATTTCTTTGAGTCATGCATAATGATTTATATATTCATCCTTAATGTTGGTATCAAGACTAAGGTAATGATGACCATTTGTAAGTTGGCATGACAAATAGATATGATTAACATATAGCAGATTTGGCTAGAATAGATCATGTAGGTTTGTTAGAGGTTATGTCCAGGTATTGTAGTTGTCTGAAAGACACAAAGCTTTGAAGGCTTTGAGAAACTCCAGAAGATATGAAGCTCCATAAATTTTGGGGAGCCCCAAAGGCCTCAACCCTTAATAGGCAAAGGAATTGTAATAGAGGCGTGGCTTTGTGATCGAAACAAACAACTTGGATGCTCCAATATCAATTTTTTAGATGATAACAACAAGCATACTAATCATACAATAAAATAGAAAATAAAATAGACAATAAGATTTTTTGTGGAAAACGCTTTTAAAAAAAATTATAGGCAGGAGAAGAAAATTTTCACTAATTTTGAAAATAAAATAATACAAGAAGAATCTCCATTAAACAAATTGATTTTTAAATCTAATCGCTAGTATCTATTTATAAAGATAGTTACTTGAAGCTTACATAGCAAGAATCTAATGTAAATATGTTTCATACTCTCAATCAACATAAAATATATTACACTTCTTACTTTCAATTAAATAGGTTTGAATTTGAATCAAACTCTAACAATATCTACATTGACACGAATTCTAAAAGGACAAAGAGTTTGAGACAAAATCCTAAATTCGATAAAACACTCAAACTCAACAAAAATTTATTCTTCATATCCATGAATAAGTTCTCCTCATTGAGAATATATTCTTCAATTCTCGCACGAAATCACTTAAAAATGTATTCTTCAATATTGATTGTCAACTGAATCAAAATCTTACAGAAAAATAGATATAAAAAGTAATTTAGTTTAATGTGATTATCATAAGTATCAATTTTACTTACAATTATTTCACTATTAGTAATATTATGTACAACACGAACAAGGACATCTAATCGAGCACAATATATTAGGATAAAGCCCCAATTAGGAAACAACAACTGAATAAATAAGAACTAATGAAACACAAAATAACAATGAAGAACAAATAAAATCACAGAGAAAAACTCTCCTCATTCTATGCGGCAGTTACGTTCTTCCTTGGACGGTTTTCAATTTTTTGTGTTCATGGCAGCAGTAGTGGTCTTCTCCGACCACCACCATATCATTTTTAGTTAGGTTTTATCGTATTTACTATAATAATACTTTTGACCCTTTCTTTATTAAAGGGTATCATGACTACCGATGTTTTTGGACTCTCGATGCAGGTTTTTTATTGGTTTTTCTTATCGGTTTTTTAATACATGGTTGTTGCTTTCCCGTGGCATGTTTCCTCTGTTTGGTTTGTACAAGACTGTTCGTTGATTATCGCATATATATGACGCAAGGGATTGCTATTAAGGGGAGATCGCTTTTTCCGTTGGCCTTTTTGGTTTTTCTTCAAGTTTCTCTCCTCCATGTTTGTTGCTCGGAGCCGTCGATGTGTTCAGTTTATGTTCGCCGTTGCTTCACTTGTTAAAAGTTTTGTTTATAGTCTGTTAAAAGTTTTGTTTATAGTCTATCTCTAAGCGGCCATTATTATATTTTATTTTTGTGAGAATGCTGCCATGGAGACTAAGAATGATGAAAGCTCAAATGAAGGAGGATGAAACTTAAAGATAGAGAGATGACAGAATGAAGATTTTATTGATCATTGAAGAAAGTACTCTGCCTACAATCTAATATAAGTGTGGCTTATATAGCCCAAGTAACCAACAACTATAACAAACTAATAACAATTAATAACAAGCTAATAACAAACCATAACAAACTCTAACATTCACTCTACTTTTCCACCTTTTAATTTTCTTCAAAATGAACTTGCTATTAGAAAGTTGATCAAACAAAGAGTGCAAACTTAATAAGTTGGAATTCAACCGTCTTGCCGTCTCGATGAACAATTTACCGGACAAATTCTCTTTCACCTAAAACATCTTCTTTCTTCAACTTTCCTCGGCTTTTCTTCTTCTTTTCAAGAGTTTTTTTTCATCTTCACTATTCTTTCTCTTCACTTATTGGGACTTTCTTTTTGTTGGAAGCAAGGAGGTTAAGCTACGAGCTCCCTGATGCAATCCGAAGCCTCTTTTAGGCAAGAAAACATCCTATTTTGTCTGGTTAAGGAAGGCAAGGTTGTTAAACTCTTAACCCTCCCCAGAGATTTTCTTCTATGGTAACTTGGTTGTTAAGCCTCAAAGTTCCATGTCAAACTTTGGAGAAGAAGTAACAAGTGATGAACGATACTCTATGAACACCTTAAAGTTGTTGGTTGAATTACACATATAGCGTTCTTCGTCAACACACACAACATAGAACGAGGAAGAACATTGAGCACAGCAGTAACGAGAGTTCTCCAAATGCAGCAATATTTCACTGAGCACCCATCAGCCGTAACGGCACTTAAGGCCACGTTTATGAAAAAAATGAAATTGTTCAACACCAATGAGAGGAATTGAGTTTTGGAGAAAGTGTAACTGAGAAATTATGAATCGAACATCTCTGGCTTCTTTGGCTTTGTTCTCTCTTTCGGCAAGGGCTACGACCCCTTCTAACATTTTGAGGACAACTTCTCCTTCCCCGCAACAATCTATCAACAAAGCGTACTTGTACAAGGTCTTGTAAGCGAACGGATCCGACTGAAGGATTTCATCGAACAGTCTGCACGCTTTCTCGGTTTGACTCATGTCGCCCAACAACCTTCCCGACAACAATTTACAATCAACAACATCTGGTTGTGCAAAAACCAAGCGCTTCAAGGTGATAACTGTCGCTTCTTCTTCTTGGTTTTCAAGCTTCATGCATTTGAGCACCTTTATTTCCTCGACGGCTTCCGTATCCGATTCAAGAAACGTAGAAAGCGATGATGTTTGATTTGGTTTCAAATCATCTGCTTCCTTTTCTACCGGCAAAGCAGGTTCGTTTTCAACCACCGTTACTGGTACAGGGTCGGCACGGGCAGGGAATTCTGAGAATTTCCCAATCATCAAAGTCGTGGCACCGACCAAAACAGCCGTCTTGGCGAACAATTGAAGCTTCTGGGCGATGGAATCAGGCCTTACAGAACAACAAGCCCTGAGCCTGAGGGGCTTGGGTGAAGGAAAAGTGAGAAACGGGGCCGGCGAAGAAGACGAATGGAGTGATTTCAAGGGGAGAACGGCGGTGCGCGGTGATGAAAATGTGGCTAGTGTTGGATTCATAGCTAAGAATATATTTTTTTCTTGGTTTTCTCAAGGTTGAAGAAAGCAATGGAATGGCAACAGCAGAAGGTAGACGAAATCAGGATCTTTGGCGAATGATACCATGTGAGAATGCTGCCATTGAGACTAAGAATGATGAAAGCTCAAATGAAGGAGGATGAAACTTAAAGATAGAGAGATGACAGAATGAAGATTTTATTGATCATTGAAGAAAGTACTCTGCCTACAATCTAATATAAGTGTGGCTTATATAGCCCAAGTAACCAACAACTATAATAAACTAATAACAACTAATAACAAGCTAATAACAAACCATAACAAACTCTAACAATTTTTGATAGTCTCGACTGTATTTGTTCAATCTATAATTGGCAAGACGTTTGTTTATACGGCTTTCGACAATTATTGGGAACATCATGACTTTAAAATATTAACCCTTTATCTTTCAGAGAACAAAGAATTTGATCGAGAGAATTCTAATGGAGAAGGCTTTCCTAATATTTGGGGTCCTTATTTTAATCGAAATGAATTTTTTATTATTTGAAATAATTATATAATATTTATTTAAAAAATTTAATCAATTAACAAGGTACACATATTATATAAACGTAACTGTTCAAATTTAAATCCTAAAAGTTTATATATATATATATATATATATATATTACGGACATCACTCTAAATTCTCGAAATTAAGGCGGAATTATCCATGGGAGTAGTGTTGGCAGTAAACGATTGAAGGCAGTTAAACACCGATGACTTCCACGTGGCAGAGATCTGTCATCCCGTCAACACAATGCAGAAGGAGTAGAGAACAGAAATGGAAACATAAGGTAATTTCAGCATTCTAATTTGTTTTCATATATATTCTTTATTAAATTCAAACGAAATATTTAAATCAAAATTAAAAAAAAAGGGTAAAGAGAGGGACGAACGGTTTCATTTTCTGTTAACGAAAAACAAAGAAAACGCAATCTTCACGTGCCCCTGTTTTGAAATTAATCAGTTTCATACAGTTATCTCCTTCTTTTTGTTTCTTTCCTTCGAGCGTTTCTTTCAAGCACTTATCTCTCTATATAGAGACCTCTCTCCGTTGGATACTAATAGGAGTTCGTTGTAACTTACAAGTTTTGTTTAGAGATTAAGAATAGTAGTCCAATTTGCGGAGAGAAATGGAACAAGGCAAAGGAACCAAGTCTTCTTCTTCTCAACTTTTTGGCTCAAAAGTGTCACCTTCATCTCCTTTAAGGATTTTTCAGAGTCTATTTCCTACTCAACCTAAGGTATTTTCGTCCTGTTTGAAACTTTCATCTTTCTGGGTTTTTCTTTGCTATTCAATGTTTCAAAGATTCAATCTTTTCTTCTTTCAGTCTGGTTATTTGATTGTTCCTTTTTTTTTAAAGATTGTTCCTTTTTTTTAATGAATGGGAAATATTGCTTAAAAGTAGCCAAGGCTTTGCATTGTTTCTTGGTGTTGATTCTTTTTCTCTTGTTTCTTGTATTGCTATTTAGCATCTGCATGGCATGCAAGTTTTCTTTCAAGTTCCAATTGTGTGTTTCTTTTCTTTCATTTTGTCTCGATCGTTTCATCATGCTTGTGTTGGTTTTTAGGTGCAAGGAGAAGAGTCTCCGATGGCCAGAAGGCAGGAGTCACCGAATGAGCCGTTGAATGCAAATCCTGAAAACTCTGGTTTGTGCATCACTTACTGCTTTTAGCCGATTTTATTTTGCTTATTCTCTTGCAAGTGTCCTCGTGACTCTGGTATTTGATTTAAACACTATTTGCTTGTGCGTTACAGCAAAACAAGGCCGGTCTTCTAAGTACATTAGAGATTTTGTGTAAAACTATATTACTTTTGCTTGTTTCTTGAAATTAATTCTTTCATGTTGCGTACAATGATAGTTGTGCACTAATTTGTCTGAAACTCTGTAAATGCAGAAGCGAGTTCCATTTATCCGCATCAATGCGTACAACCATGTCATCTGAGTTCGTCGATCTACTACGGCGGCCAAGACGAATGCCCTCGCCCCCAGACTAAGCAGGGCTCTGGAATAGACACTGTGGTGAGTACATCAAGTTGTCCTATAGCCATGAACATATTCAGTGACATGAGCATTCTTTTTGCATACGAATTTTGAATACTTTAAATGTCAATCTTTCAATATAGCAATCTACTAACATGTTTTTTCATAACATCCTAGTACAAGGATAATGGAGAAGATGATTCGGGATATGCAACCAGAGGAAACTGGTGGCAAGGTATTATCTGGTATATAATGAGGAAATATAGCATTTTTAACTGGAAGGTTGATATCTTTGTTTTTTCTTCATTTTGTTTGTGTAGGATCTCTCTATTACTAAGTATTTCTCGCCAACCAACATACTTATCAAGGTATTTTAGTTAGATAATCACTACCGCAGCCATGCTTATTCCACGGTCTCGTCGTATCTTTAGTTTGATCGATCGATTAATATGTCATCCGACAAACAAGCGAGGCAGGTGTTGTTGTTGTTTACGGTTTTTTTTATCTGATAAAGTTGCATCTTTATCCTTTGCAGGTACATAGGTAGACCCAGATGGCAGTTTAACCCGTTTCTAGCTATACACGGGACGTAGACTACAGTAATCAAATGTTGCAGACAGCCTGTAGTTTTTCACTTACTCCGGCCGAGCAAATATACTAGTTCGACTCCCTTCTTCACTGTGAAGAATGAGAGAGTTAGTCTATTCCTTTCTTTTTTCAATTCTATGTAGACTATGTACTCAAGTGACCTTGATATAGTATGAATGATGAACTACAAATATGTGCTTCAGCATCTGGTTTCCATGCTTGTGTTGGCTTCTTTTGTCCCTTAATTAACAATCCAAAGACCATAAACCGAACCCAAATTGGGGAACTTTAGACCCACAGATTTCAAGCAGTCTTTATCTATCAGTTGGTGGGGCCAAACCGCAAATGCCTTTGGTCGTTAAAGAAAGACTCGAAAGGGTTAGCAAAAATATTATGCAACCGCATTTATTGTGAAAGTTGCTTAAGATTTTGATGTTACATTTATCAATAGTTGCATACATGATTGTTGAAACATTCATTTTATATCTGTTAGCCATTGTCAAACGAATCGTACTTCCGGAATTAGTTGTCAATATTCTATTGGCTTTTCTTTGTGTTCAATTGGCAAAAGATACTGAAAAATGTCCAGTCAAACATGAACCAGACAACCATCGATTGTTTATAGACATACGCAGACGAAACAGATTGAATAACACGACAGCTGTTCGTCGTTCTCAATCATCTTCCTATTCCAACCAAATATTTAAAAAAACAAATAGAAACAGGTGAAAGACTGCTGTCTCGGGAGATTGGTTCATGGGGTGCAACACCAGGGCTCTTTCTCTGGAAATAGGCCGGAGGGATTCTGTTTTGGTACGCTTGCTGCCTCGCCAAGACATTCAAACGATACAGATGTTGCTTGAGCTATGCTTGAACCGGATTCTGTTTCTTCGTTTGAATTACTGTATTCCTTATCTCTTAAATCAATACTGAGATAATCTGTCAGCAAGGCTTTTTTCACTCCAATCCCATGCTGTGGTCTTTCTCCTTTTGCGGGGCTAACTAGATGTGCTGGTGAGAAGTTCGGAGTCGTAAATGCAGTTCTATAAGGACTGCTTGAGAAGGCCATGTGGTATGGAGTCGAAAGACTCCTCCGGCCAATTACACCAACTCTGTTCGGCGAAGAGAACTGATCCGAATGCTTGGTCAAATCATCCACATAAAACAGATCATCGATACGCGCCACAATGTTAAATGCCAGGCTCTCCAAAACTCTCGAGTAGCTTTCCAAAATGGATTTTCCGATATCCTAACACCACAATACTCGGTTATCAGCATGACTTTTGTAATTAAAAGCCTTCTCGAGAACAAATCTGAAAGTGGAACCAGTGACACAAACCTTGTTGTTCTGAATCTTGCTCATATCTAAAGAGGTCTGGGGAAGACCAGCGAATCGCTGCTTCAAGCAAAGAAGTAGGCTCTCGGCTCGATCTGCAAGTATTTCTCTCTTTTCACCATCAACCATTAGGTCCTTGACCATGTCCCATGAGGACTTTGAACTAGAGCGAGCTGTGTTGTTGACAGGTTTGGGATTGGTTTTTCTGCGCCACAGATATATCGAGGCCTCCACTCGGTTGGCAATTTCAATAGCTTGATGCTCAGAGGACAAATCAAGGCAATCAAGAAGACATTCAGGCGTAAACAGATCGGATGAAATATAGCGATAAATAAGATCTCCTAAGCTCACTCGGCCATTCTGAAACAAATTCTAGCAGAAGTTAACAACACTTCATAGTTCATGGAATGCATACCCTAGTTTATATTTAGTTTCTATTACCTTTGGAAGAGATTCGAAATATGATTCAGGGACTTCCATGTCAGCTAGAGTAATGTTGTTGATAGCCATTGCAGCTTTTAGGATCTGGTTTGCACAGTCACGTTTATGCTGCAACTCCTTCCTCGAATTTTCATTGAGGCCTCCTGGTGGCACACGAGGCACGGGAAGCCACCATTTCTCCTCTTGACGCTGAAGGGCTTTTCGGAAAGGGGTTGATCCATCAGCCTGCTGAGCTAGAATCCCTTGGTCAACATACCAGAACTCTGCGTCAACAAAACCATCTAATATCTCCTGCAAAATAGCGTATGCTACATTAAAAATAAGCTCTGCAAACATAATCTTATTTCGATATTGTAATACAAGCCGGTGAATCGTACGAGAAGCATGTTGTCCAATTTTCTTAAAGCTGGGAGGTTGACGTAGAGATCCAACCGGGGCCTGCAAGTCATGACCTGAAATCACAGCAAGTGACATGGCATTTTGGTCACTAGATTTCAAAACTGCCCTAATGTCGCATATTAAAATCATGGTTTCACCTCAAGCTTGCTTCCGTCCGGGAATGTCTGCCAAGTCGGTATCAACTCGACAATGTGATCACTAACAGAAAGAAACCATTCCATCTCTCTTCGCCACATTGATTTCTTCTCATGAGGTACTGGTTCTAACCTCCATATTTGCCCAAACAAGGTGGCTGCATAGTTAGGGCAGTGAATGAGAAATAGCCAAAACCAATTAACCAACAAAAATCAGAGACCAACATTGACAAATCAAATTTATTAAAACTATGTTAAATATTAAAAAAATTGAAGCATTACCAGAAAGATTGGTGATGGCATTCGAAATAGCCAAGGCAGAACAAACACCATTTCCAGACCCTGACATGTCTTCACCAAGCAGCAATTTTGCAAATCTTTCCTTCATCAACTCAATCTCTGTAACCCCATTATCAAACTCATTAACAAAATGAATCAAACAAAGGAAAATGAGAAACATATTCATATGATGATGATTAGTCATAAATACCTGAAATTGTGGATCTATGTTTCTCCGGTGTTCTATCATTGTGAACTGAAGGCGGTGAATATAAATCTTCTTCCTCAGAACTACTGTGACTGTGTTCTTCCTCGTGCACTGTTGTCTCTGATGTCAAAAGATCAGAGCTTGAACTACTTTCACGACCCCCAAAGCTTTCATTTTTCTCAACCGAACTCTCCATTTCTGCTTTCTTTTCTTCAAAACCAACCGCAGAGTTGTTAATAATCATCATGCCACTAGAATCTAATCTGTCTAAGCGACATACATTTGGCTCTATAGCTCTGTAGCACAAGCTTTTAACGGATTTCGAAACCCAGAAGCTTGTAGCTTTTAGGTTTGGTACAGGCAAACAAAGCTTGAACTGGACTGAGTCTACTTGCTCTCGGTGGGTGAAAACTGAAAGCTCCATTCATGAGGCTGCAATCATGCCTGCTTAAGAGAGGCAAAATGGAAGGAAAAACAAACAAGAAATACAAAGAAATTTTATTTTCTTTATTATTGTGTGAGAGAAAAAGCACGAAGCTTTGTGCTTATAATGTATGGAGTAAAGCTGGTAATGACTACGAGAAGCAGACAAGAAAAGGGCTTCACAATCTCTAGGCTTTGCCTGTGTTTGAAAAATAAGGTTAGGTGGTGGGAATCTATCTATGGATTTTTTTAAGGATAAACTAACTATTTGGTCACTCATCTATTAGTTAATTTATTTTTTGGTTAGTCAATTAATTTTTTTAAATCATACATAATGTAAACTGTAGACACTCATTTTCGTCCATTTTTTATTTTTATTTTTTTATTATATATATATATATCTATATATATATATATTTACTTTGCAAACGGTCTTTGAAAATACTTATAATATACATAATTTTTGAAAACATTTTGAAAATGTATATAATATATAGTTTTAAAAATATTTTTTGAAAACTATATAGTATATAGTTTTTAAAACATTTTAGAAAATATATATAATATATAATTTTTAAAATCATTTTTGAAAACTTATATATATATAGTTTTGAATGTTTTTTAAAACATTTAAATATTATAATTTTTGAAAATATTTTAAAAATATATAATATATAATTTTTAAAACGTTTCTGAAAATATATATTATAAAGTTTTTAAAACGTTTTTAAAAACATGTATAATATATAGTTTTTAAAAGCATTTTGGAAATTTATATATTACATATTTTTGAAAATATTTATATATATATATAGTATTATTATTATTATTATTTATTTTTATTTTATTTCTTATTATTATTTATGCTTTTTGCAGGGTCCAAGTCAAAGATCTGTTTTGGGTCCAATATGGTCCAAGTCCGGTCCAAACACTGGGCCTGAACTAGCCCAGCAGAGGATACGGTTCAGGGTCTGGAAACCCTAGTCATACATGTCACAGGCGGCGTACGAGGGGGGCAACCAAACGTCAAGCCCGAGCCGGTCGGCCGGGAAAATCGGGACTGCACCATCCCGAGAATCCCGGCCACGTGAACGTTGAGGGGAACGACCCCGTTATCATCAGAAACGGCCTTCACCGAGGGGTTATAAATACCCCGGTGAGGCCATGCAAAAAGGGGGAGCATCGAGAAGAGAAAAACACAGAAACCAACGGCAGAATCACGGCCACAAATAACCAAACATCAACACAAAACAGAGAACACAGATCTACACCAAACGTCAACCACATACAGAACCACAGTACACCGAGAGCTATAACCAAACACAAGTCCAAATGAAACACAACCAGAACGCAAAATAAACCAAAACAACAGCAAAACAAAAACAAAAGCAGACAGCCCCGATCTAAGCCACGAAGGGCCATCGGAAGCAGAAAGGTCGCCGGAGAAGGGTAGGTGCCGAACAGTTTTTTTGTAGATCTACGGTTATTTGGGTGTGTTCTAAAGATTTGGGGCTCAGATTTGAGTGCACGACGTTGAGGGAGTTATTTTGGTAGGTTTGGGTTTCCTACGACCGCCGGCAGTGGCGGTCGGCACGGCGTTGGCACGACGGGGAGACCACCGGAGCTGTGGCCTGATATCTCCCATTTGAGAGAGTTTGAGAGACGAGAGAGAGCGCAGAGAGAGAGGGAAAAATGACCAAATGAGATAAATGAAGAAACAGAACCCTATTTTCGGCTTTAAATACGAGATTCAAAACGGCGCTGTTTTACGAAGGATTGGTTTGCAAATAGAGGATTTTTAGATCCTCTCCGCAATCCCTGGTATTTTGGATCGGTTTTCATTTTGGTCACTATTTGTAATTTTGACCCCGAATTTGCAATTCAATTAATTTGGTCCCGGTTTATATTTCTTTTATCTTTGTCAATTGGCTCATAACTTTTTCATTTTTTTTGCAGTCCATTTTAATGTCAATTTGGCCCGTTAATTCTATTTTTTAATTTGGTCCCCTACGTCTTACTGTATTTTATCGCTATCATTATTATTATTATTCCTTCATATTTTTTTGTTACTATTAAACTTTACCCTTTTTTTCTTTTTCCTTTTTTAATTTTATATTTATCTATCATATTTTTCTTTCCTCTTTGACTTATTTCTGTTTATTTATTTCTTTTTCACTTATTAAATTTTTTTTCTTTTGACTTGTTATTATTATTACTATTTTTGTTTTCGATTCATTTAATATTTGTTTATTGTTTTTTATCTAACATTTTCGATTTTTCTTTTAGAAGAATTTCAACCGATCAAAGGTAAGTAATTCGAATCGGATTTCTAAATTTCAATTTAAATTTTCTAATTTTCGTAATTAAAGACAACCGGCAAATTAATTGGTACCGAAAGGGCGGTTCAAGGGTGCTAATCCTTCCTTGACCGTAACCGACTCCCGAACCCGATTCACTTCTGGTAAAACGCAGATCAGGTAAGATGGTGTCCGACCTACCTAAATTCGTTTTAAAATGGTCGGTGGCGACTCTAACCCAATTCATTCAAGTCGAAGCCCAATTCCGGGGCCCCACTCAAAAGACGGTCGCGACAGCTTGGCGACTCTGCTGGGGACAAGTAAGTGAGTCAAGCCGAAATTAATTTTCGGTTGTCTTTTATGCGAAAATGGTAAGTTTAAATTTTAATTTATTTATTCGATTCCAATTATTTATCTTTGATTATTTTTCAAATAAATAGTTGTACTAACGTTTTTCAATGATTTCAGATTTTTTCAAGCTCTAAACCCGAGCTCCGAACCTGTTTTAAGTGGGGGTGAAAGCGACGTATTCGTGTGAATTTATTCACCGCATATGCCTAGCAAGTAGCCTTCGGGATTCATATACCTTATGTCTTCGTGTGAATTTATTCACCGTGCAGGCATAAGGGAATGTGTCCTCTCGGGTTTAACTTAGTCCACACAAGCCTGTGATAGGCTTAGGACTAAGGGTCTGGTAAGCCCAAGGGGGCACCGGTAAGGAGAACTCGAGTACCTTTTTAGAACCTAAACCGGGAGAGTACAGGGAATTAGAGCCCACCCCAAAACCTCATTCCAAACCCTAGGCTGTTTTATTTCCTGCTTTATTTTCTGTTCAAAGCATGCGAACTAGACAAACATGTGGTTAGGTTTTGTTTGAAATTAGCATGCGGGATAGAGATCATGTCCGGGTATGAATAATAAGCATGTGGGGTAGAAATCATGTGGGGTATGACTTTTCATTTTTATCATTTTTTTATTATTATCCTTATCTCATTAACTTTTTTTCCTCCTTTCATTTTTGTTCTTTGACATTTTTTATCATTCGCATCATTTAAAAGAGGTGCTTGATTCCCAAAAAATGTGTTTGTTAAAACATAAATAATCTGCATTAATGGACAATGGGGTTGTAATACAAAGAGATGAAAAGCTCAGAAGTCCAGCCGTGGTCAAAGAATACCCAGAGGAAAAGGTTGCAGGGGCAAGACGAGGAAAAGGTTACTGACCCGGGCGCTCCTTTCGAAAACTACGAGAACAAGATGGTGAAACCTTAGCTGAGCTAGATGACATTGCTAACGAATTCAAGAAGCAAGCTTCGTATAGTCTCTATCGATGAAGGGCTCAAATGGTGTTGCCGTTAGGGAACAGACTCGGTATAGAGTGAAAGACGGGGATGCAGTCCTTCGAGACCTTTTTGGGGCAAGCAGCTCGTCATCTGCATAAGTTTAGCCAAAGGAGCAGGAATGGTTCGACAGGATATTCAACCGGTGAAAAAAGGCGGAAGACGAATCAACTTGTCAGAAGCTGTCATGATATTTTTGTCTCTTAAGAGATAAAACACTTTTGTCCCCAATAAGGATTATTTATAATAACAGACACATTTTTCGGATCAATGCCTCGAACATTTCATGCATCATGCATTCTTGCATATTTCGCATAGTTTTTCTTTTTTTCACTGTATTCACATGAACTAATAAGATATTTTCATAACGGAAGGGTACAAACACTGGACGTACCTCCACAAGCTTCGGATACGTGTCATCCCCATTCAAACTGAAAAGAAGATGGAAGCCAGAATTACTCAGATCAAAGATAACATGTTGAAGCTCCAGAGAGAGTTAGAAGAAAAGATAAATCAGAATAGCCAGAGTACCCTAGATGCAATCACGAAAGGCCAAGAGTCCTTGATCGATCAGATCGTTGCCAAGTTAGTTGGCTTACGTCAGACAAGTGTGCCTGGGGCAGGCTCATCGGAATGGGTAACCATGCCACCTACCCCGCAAGTGGTTGTCTCACCTAGAATCTTACCAGGACTTCAAGATAATTCAGATAGTTATCGCATTCTGAAATTTGAAGAAGAGGTCAAAACAACGAGGGTAGAAATTACCATTAACCCAGGAGGTAGAACGGGTGGAAAACCTCCCCTGAAGAAGAAAGAAAAAGAGATCATCAACATTTCAAAGTCGTTTCCAGTCGTACCCTTTTGTAGGAAAAAACCAATGAAGGAAAAAGAGCATTTTGATCCCATTCCCATGACATACAAAGAGCTCTACCAACAGCTGTTTGACGCACATGTGGTGTCACCCTATCCCGAGACACCTCTAAAGCCCCCATGCCCCAGGTGGTATGACAAAAATGCGCACTGTGAATATCATGGCAGTGTTCCGGGGCATGCTATCGAAAATTGCCTCCCCTTTAAGAGGGTTATCCAGAGGATGCGCAACAGGGGTTGGATTCATTTTAATAATTCAGAAACACCCCACGTTGCACAGAACCCCCAACCAAATCATGAAGAGAATAAGGAAAGTGCAGTCACCGAGGAAAAGGGTAAAAAGGCCAAAACCAGAGTTTCCGAAGTGAAGTCACCTCTTGCTTGGGTATGGAGGCAAATGATAAATGCTGGGTTTCTTGCACCACATCTTAGTACATCAGATTCCAAAAATGACAGTTATTGTTGTTATCACAATGAAGATGGACATGATGTACAAGAATGTGCCGAATTTAG